CATGCTGGTGAAGTTTTTTGCCAATTTCAGCTTCAGTGCCCTTTTGCTTCAGTTTTTGAGTCATAAAATCCTGCCTCCTCATGAGCGTGTTGTAAAAATAAATGTACTATGTCTGTAGGGTTTACCAACTACAGGGATCAGTGCTGAGAAAACCCTGTAGGAAACTAACCTTTTCGGGTATCAGGTAGCAGGAAGCATATTCAAGGTAAACCACAAGTGCTTACAGGCTGAATGATGACAATAAAATGAAATGTTGGTCAGCTGTTTCACTGCTTCCAGACAGCCCCTCATGTTCAGCTAGAAAGTTGATCTTGCCCTGGAAAACCTCAGTGATCTCGCAGCGCCCATACAGAGGACCCGCTGCCCTCGGCGGGCTCCAGCCCCTGTCCTCCAGTGGCATCCGTAACCCCAGAAGCAGCCAGACCAAAACGAATCAGCCAAAGCAGCACAAAAACCCAGCGCTTCCCATGACAACATTCAGGCAATGGCATGTTACAGAGGCCCAGCGTGTTCGGCAGCTGGACTCTGCCCCGGGACCAGAGGGCAGAAGTGGTGGGTTTCTGATGGAGTAAGTGAAGCTACTCCTCCTGCCCGCTCCTTCCAGGGGGGGATCTGGGTATAGGGGCAGATTTAACTACAAATACAATAAATACAATCAACATATATACATATTTACAGGCGCTGGGGATGTCTGTAAAAGACACGAGGGGGACACAGAGCATGCAGCTGTAAAACAGAGGTAAGAAGGTGATTTCCAAGCGGAATACAGTCAGAGGGAAATGGCTTACCTACTGCGAGAAACAGCAACCCACAAATGATCCTCATGAAAACAAAGCCAGAGTTCAAAATATTTCTGAAACTAGTCTAAATATTTATTCTTTTTCCAGGTTAGGGAAGGATTTTACTTCCCTGGCTCTCAAGCCATTATCTGCACCAACCCCATTCACACAGGTTTATCCAATTTTTCACCTCTTATCTCATAGAAGCTTTATCTTTGTATATTGTAATTACTGTTTCTTCCTAAAACTATGGAGGGTCTGCATGAAATTAAACTGACTTAGACCCTTTCCTCAAATCACAGCCTATAGCATTCTGGAAACTGAAATAAAACATCCTTAGCACAATGACTAGTTCAATCACTAGTCATTTTTGGGGGTACCAGTGAAAACCATTCCTGAATGTTAAAATATTTTCATTAATGCAGTATTTCTGTAAAACCTCATATTGCCTTCCTGTGCGTGAATTTTCAAAGTAAATTCCTTTTTTATTACAAAACCCACCTGCAAAAGAAGCAAAATATTTAAAAATTATTCAGGCACTGTAATGCCATTAATAAAACTTCTCTTTCCAAGTGCCACAGTTAATTTTAAGGAACTGCTATTAGCATTCATGATACAATCACAAAGTAAACTCACCTTCAAGACAAACCATGGAACCCCTACCAAAAAACCCACAGTGTTTAGAAAAAACACACTGTGTTTTAAGTGCTAGAATTTGACAAGTAGCAGAAACACCATCAAGAGTATAAAACAAGACTTGCAAAGTCCAATTCGACTCCAAATTAAATTGCAATTTAATTAATTAATTAATTAAAAGGAGAACCTGCACACATCAGGCAGCTGACGACAGACATGCTACGGTACAGCTGAGCACAGAAGGGAAACGCTTCAGGAGAGGACAAAGACAACTTGCTGATCACTCAGTTTTTGCAGAAACTGCGTAACATCCATTTTGGATTATCTGTGATTAAGGCAGCCGGTTCTTACATTTCCTAGGCACCTGTTATAACCACGACTCGCTTCCAAGCCTAATGTCATACATTTTCGCAAAGTTAGCATCAGGGCATCAAAGTACCGCCAGGTTTAAGGGGCAGGAGGGCCCGGAGGTGGCACTGCCTTCACAAGGAACAAACATCCCACATGATAGTGAGCTCGCACATTGCTATGCAGGCGGCCCAAATACCCATCCCTGCTTGGCACCTTTGTCCTACTAAAAATGATATACCACCTTGTAAACTGGCACCATGCCACCCTGACAGATGGACTTCAGTGTAGGCAGCCAAGAGACTATGTATAAGCATCAAATACGTTTTTTGAGAGCAGGACTTCCAGCCAGGAATGTTAAAACAGCTGTCCACACTGAGCCTGCATGCCTACACTTAAGAGGATATGCTACTGCCACTCCAGCCCTGAGCTGGATTAACTTGGAAAATAAATAAAATAGCTTCCACAGCCACATAAGGTGAGTTTTTGCAGAATCGGGATTAGTGATAACTCAGGGGGGCTTTACTGACCTACTATTAGTGGGCACACTCGGTGGGATTGAGGAGCTCTTCAGTTCTGCAGCTCGGTGGACCTTTCATCATGTGCGTGCTTGTAAACAAATGTTTCTCATCTGAACACATCTTTATATATGTTACTTTTCTTTGGAAAAAAAACATAGAATGCAATACCAGCGTGTTTACAGACAAACGTGTTAGTGACCTTCTGCTTTCTGTTAGACGATACTTTTTTTTTTTAATTAACTGTCCTCACTCAGACACCTGTGTGACTGGGATCTGTTTCACCGGGCTTTCTTCTCTTCTTCAAAACTTCAACTCCCATGGCCCATTCCAAGAATTTTTGTTAGCTCATGCCTACATGGATTTTATATCTTGACATCATTTGCACAGCTTGCCCTGGTAATAAAATCATACTGCCTTGAGAAACAGGCATTGCGCAACCCAGGATGTGCGGTGGCTGGCCAGGACGAGCCATGGCCTGGCCACCTCTACCCCATCCCCACACCCGGCTGGGCTGCCTGCCGCCCACAAATCCCTCTCCTCCTCAAGGACAGGAAGCATTCCAAACCACTGAGAAGCTCCAAAAAAACATGTTTGCTCACATCAGTATGCCAAACAATGCTCTTTTTTCCCACGGAACCCGGGATTTACTCCTGCCCCTCAAAAAGTCACTGGCTTAAGTCTAAAGCGTGGTACATATTCAAACCTGAACAAGCCGAGTGGCTTAAACTCTGAAAGGAGGTGACAGTACATTTTACTTGATGTTTAAACATGCTTTGTGTTCATTTTAATTCTTCTCCCTGTGGACACAGTCAGATCGTGGGCATAAATTTTTCATGTACGCTGCAGCTGGGTACCTCATCCTAACTCTTCTGAATCACAACATACGAACATCAACTCTACAAGGGTACTCCCAGCATAAATCAAAGCTGCCTTCAGTGCCCGGCTTGAACAGGGTCACACACAGTCTCCCAACAGCTGCTGGTGTCTTTTACCTTTGTTAACTTTAAAGCTGATCTTTGCCGCAATTAAAAGTTACCGGAGTCACCTTATTACAATTTCCTATGCTGGCAGCGCCTCAGCGGTAGGCACCGTTCCTCCTGCCCTGTGAGGATTTCCGACCACTGACCTTGCTTCCCCCTTTGGTGAAGACTTCTTCCTCCTCTCGCACTGTTCATCTCTTTTACCCTTCATTCCTCACCTACAGCTTTTCCATTTCCTTTTTTTTCCACGTTTTTGAGGACAGTGTGAAATCATCTGTTTGCAAAAGTTTTAGTCCCCTCTCTGCTGCTCTAAACTACAATTATTAACTGCAGCAACAAGACGTTTTGCTTTTTCATACCATCAATAAAGTCGATTCTAAGTTAATCTAAATTTCCATGCCACTTAACCTTTCTCAGAGGGGAGGAAGAGAGGAAAAACATTTTGTCAAGTATTTCATCGGGCAGATCCGCAATGCTGTGAAAACAACAGAAAAAACACGGGTAATACCTCTCCTTCCGAAAACCGACAGTGCCTCAAAGCTTTCTCAAGACACCGCAGGTAGACTGCGCGTGGCTTGAAATGCTTCAGGGAGCAGTCAAATCGCTGAAGAACGGGTCAAAAGGAGTAAAAATTCTGATCTGGATCGCTACTTTTGCTTTATAAAGTACTGATACACACACATTCTGAGTGTATTCCCTGCATGCATGTCTATTTTACATGGAATGATTATCTCCACGGTTATCATAAAGCGCAAGTAAATTGAACTGCAAATGGTAATTCTGAGCATCCAAAACCCCTTGGCAGCCCTCTCAGCCTCGTAAGTGCCTCTCCTTATTTGAAAAGTATTTGAAGGAGTACACGAGGTTCATTTCTTACAGAATCCTGTGAGATGCTAACGTAAATTCAGAGAACAGTCAACCCTCTTACACATTACATAAACTATCAAAAATGTAGGGTGTTTATTATCATGTTCAAACTCCAAAAAGGTTTAGTACGCAGTTATCTGAGAAACCCCCCTTCTCCCATCAGAAGAACGACTATCAGGCAGACTAGTCTGTCCCTGCCAGGTGCCAGATCGGATTCTCATTTTGTTGTGTCCCTTGAGCTCCCGTGACTGAGCTCTTAACCCTGAAGGTTTTTACTTACTGTTTTACCAACTTTTTTCCAACTCTAAGTTGCAAGATGATTTATCAAAGCCAGCCAAAATTCATTGCCAGTTAAAGATAAATGAATGCCGGAAAAGTAAAATGAAGCATGCCAAAATCTCTCAAAGTGCTTATAAAACATTAACACTATAGATTGAGACTCTGGGCTAAAGGCATGCTCACCAAAGTGCAGACATGCACGGCTTCTGTATCAGCAAAAAGAAACCTGAAGGGGCACAGCAAACTTTAACACTGCTTTCTGAAAGAGTCACTGGCTAATGTCAGGAGCTGAAAAGTGTTAGGAGAAGCCGCCCTTCCCTGCTGTCCCGTCCCCCGCACGGGAGGGTGTGAGTACAGCTGCTTCCCACGCACACACTGCCTTACCTTCACCTGTTACTGCTGTTCGCCACGCCACGGAACGTTTTAAAATAGGAAAGAAAGCACGGCAATTTTACTTCAAAAGTTCACTTTGGAAGGGAAGCTTAGCACAGATGTTGTTCAAAAGGGACGGGGCAGAAGCACCTGCAAGTGGTCCCTCAGAGAGATCTGGGGTTCAGCCTTCAAAGTACCCCGGTACTTAGATGCCTTACCTAGGTAAAGCGAGGCGTTTTCTTTCTTGACGTTATCGTCTAAGTAGGTTGGTCCCAGGGTATAGATGGGTGTCGAGCCCATGCCAATGAGGATTTGGGCACAAATGAATAAAGCTACATAGAGAGAGTGGTCGTTTCCGCCGGAGTCCTTGACACAGGCCGGCGAGTCCCACTGCTCTTTGGCAGTGCCGTTGCCAGCCACGCACAAGCCCTCGTTACTGACGGAGGAGTTCAATTCCTGGATCTGGTACGGCGGAGAGATGAAATGAGGTAAGGAGAAGAGCGCAGCCCCCAGGGCGATGAAGAACCCCCCTACAGCCAGCCAGAGCGGCCTCCGTCCTCGCCCCCCGAAGTAGCTGATGAAGACCACCACCACCAGGCTCCCGATGTCGAAGCAGCTGACCAGCAGCCCCGACTCCGAGCTCTTGAGGCTGTATCTCCGCTCGATGGTGGTGATGACGCTGCTCAGGTAGCCGGAGACCATGAGGGACTGGATGAAGGTCAGGAAGCACATGCACACCAAGAAGAAGCGCGAGTCCGCCAGCACGGCCCGCAGGCAGGCTCTGCCCGGGGGGCCCGCCAGCAGCAGCGGCGGCGGCGGCGGCGGCGGGGGGGGGGGGGCCGGGGGACACCCCTGGGCCGGCCGCCGGCTGGCCGCGCTCCGTCCTCCGGGGGAAGCTCCCGCCGCCGGCGCCGGCGGCGGGGGGGGGCCGGGCGGCGCCCCCGCCCCGCCCGCCCTCGGCAGCCGGTCCCGCGGCGGGGCCCGGCCAGGCCCCTCCGCCGCCGCCGCCGCCGCCGCCGGCGCCCCCCCCGGCCGCCAGGGGGGAGCCGAGCGCGGCCCCGCGGCCCCGCGGCGCCGCCCCGCCGAGCGCGGGCAGGCTGCGGCAGCGCGGCGCCTCCGCCCGGCCCCCCCCGCCCCTCGCCGCCGCCGGCCGCTCCGCCCCGGGCCGCCGCTCCGCCGGGGTCCCCGCCGAGGCCATGCTGGGTCCGGCCGCCGCCTCAGAGGAGCCCGGCCGGCTCCATCGCCGCCGTGCGTCGAGCGCGCTGAGGGGCCCGGCGGGAGCGCAGCATACCGGGGAGGGGAGGAGGGAGGGGAGGGGGGTGGCCCTAGTCGCGGCCGCCGGCCGCCCCGCCGCACGTGTCAGCCAAAGTCCTTTGTGGCTCCATCCTCCCGCCGCCCGGCTCAAGGGGCCGCCCGCCCGCCCGCCGGGGCGCCCGGGCTGCCGGCGGCTCCCGCTCCCCGCCGCCACCGCCGCCGCATGCCCGCGGCGCCGCGCTCAGCAGCCGCCCGCCGGGGCCCCGCGGCCGGCCCGCCCGCCCGCCGCCGCGGGGAGCGCCGCCCGCCGCTCCGCCGCCCGCATCCTCCGCCTCGCCGGTGCCGGTGGCAGAGCTCCGGGGGGAGGGGTGGGCTCTGTGCGTGCTGCCGATCTGCGGGGCGGAGAGCAACCACGGAAAGTCAAGAGGCGCCGGCCTCCGCGCCCCCCCCCCCCCCCCCCCCCCCGCACCGCCGCCGCCCCGGGCTCTGCCCGCCCGGCCTCGGGGGCTTGGGTTTTGCGCCCCGCCGCCCGCACACGGAGCGGGGGGAAAGGGTCGCGGGAGCGGCCCGGGGACCGCGGCGTCCTTGGGGACAGCGCCTCGATTTTAAGTAAGGGCAGGGGCGGCCATACGCGCCCGCGGGCCTCGGCCGGAGCGCGACCCTTTTCTTTGGCGACGGATTGCGACTGCCAAAGGTCGCCGTGCCAAGCCTTTGATTTTCCAGCCTAAAAATAAGCAACGCTGAAATAAATACTCCGCTCCAACTCGGCGGCCCGGGGAGCGGTAGCGGGCGGAGGTGAAGGGAACAAAGCCGGTGCCCGGGCAGCGGCGGCGGGCACCCCGCGGCCAACCTCACCGCCCCAGCTCGCCCGGTTGCCCCGCGGACACGCGGAACCGCCGAGCACCGAGTGATGCCCAGCCCCGCCGTGAAAACACGCCGTTTTGCCTCCTTTGTCCCCTTCTGCCGCCGCCCGCGGCCGCGCACAGGGGCGGGCGGGGGGAGGCAGCGGCAGCCCCGGGCAACCGCGCCCCCACCCGCGGCTCTCCCCCCGCTACCCCCCCCACCCGCGGCGGGTGGGCAGCGGGCAGGGCGGGGGAGCCGCCGAGGGGCACCGGGTTCCCTCCTCCCGGCCGCCGCGGAGGAGAAAGACGGGGCTACTCACCCTGCCTGCGGCTGGGGGAGGGGGTGTGGGGGGGCCGGGGAGCCGGGCGGGCCCTGCGCCCCCCGCCCCGTCTGTCACCCAACGCCGGGTCCCCCTCGGGCGCCTCCCCGGGCGGAGCGCAGGCGCGCAGCCCGCGATAAACCCAAATTACAGCCCGGGAGCCGCGGCGGGAAGGGGGAGCCCGGCGGAGGTTTGGGGGGGGGGGGGGGGGCTGGTCGGTGCTTTTGCTCCCCTCCGGAGCTGCGGAGTGCTGCCCATTCGTGCCCGTGACGGGGGGGGGGGGGGGGGGGGGGTGTCAGCGGGGCGCCCCGCGACGTGGAGGCACGGTTGTGGGCCCCAGGAGGGCTTGCGGGTGCTCCGTGGCGGTGTTGCATCGCGTTGTGTAAAAGCTAATGAAATAGTCGGAAGACGAGACCTCGGTTACTGCGTCTGCTGAAGAGTCGGATGAAAGAACAGAGGGATTTTTTTTTTTTTTTTTTTTTATCATTATTATTTCATGGGGTTTTTTAGGAAAATAGCCAGGCCGCCTGATGATGCATTTTGTCCAGGGTCATGTCTCCAATTTAAACCATCTCCAAAACTGAGAAACACGCACAAAACCTGGGAAAAGTAGTTAGGAGTTTACTCCTTGTAGAGTTTCTTCGTAATTCCCTTCTTTCAGTTTATGTAGTGTCTTCAGTTGCACAGGTCTGTTTCCTCCCAAGTCTATGCTTTTAAAGCCCTAGTACTAAGATAAGTCTAGATAGTCCTGCAATTGTTACATTTGTCATGGTTTGATAGATGATGAACTGATGAGGTATTCTACTTTTTGCCCAAAGTCTTACCATAAAATAATGCTAAGGAATACACCAAAGAAGTATAATAACCACAATTCTGAATAGCTAGTGCTTTTGTGGCAGAATAGAGGATTTACCTTTGAATTTGTTTCCTCTCCTTTAAAAAAAAAAAAAAAATTAAGACTGTTCGTTTATTGATTGATAAGACAGTTTCATAGCATACCATTTTCCATTTTTATCAAGCTTGTGCTTGATACCTCTTTGTGCTTGTTGAGCACTCAAACAGCTCAAACTCAGCCAAAACGATACTTTTTTTTTCCCTAGGGTTTCACGGCATTTCTGCTGTCGATAAGGTACCTCAAGTTCAGTGGTTGTCTAGGCCTGTAGTTTTAGTATTCTCTTCCATTCAGACAGGTTTTCAAGCATCCTTGAAAAACTCATCTCAATGATTCTTTCTACATAAAGTCCATAACATGGTTTCTTCTGTCTCATTATCCCATAGCTTGTTTTTACTGCAGTTACTCTCTTTTTGTTCCTCTTGCCCTGTCAGCCCTTCATGGCCACAGCTTCCTTCACGCCAGCTCTGGCGCTCAGCTCAGCTCTCAGTAAGCTGATTCAGCTCCCTGAGCTGGCAGGAAACCAATCCAAGGGAAAGAAACATTTTTTGCTGGTTTTATAAGCTGGATCACTTCACCAAGGATGGGAGCACGAGAAGTTGCAAAAAAAAAAAAAAAAAAAAAATGGTGGGGAAGGAAAAGGAGAATTCCATGGGAAAGATGAAGAGAGGGTAGCCCATTTCAACAAAGACAAGCTATTAATTCAACTCAGTCATCTGATTGAGCCATCCCTGAGAAAATATGTGTAATTCAGCTGGTAGGCAGTAATCCATTAAACTTCAATAACTCCATTGCACTTAACTAGTATATGAACCAATAACTGCAGTTTGTAAGCTTTCTGGATCATGTATTTATACATCAAATTGGGAATCTTGTTCTATGACCAGGATTCCTAGCCATTATTGTATAAAACCAACAGTAATTTTCATGAGATCATAGAATAACAGTAGATATCACAAAAGCATTCTCCAGTCCCATGGGAAAATATAAGGGTTTAGCATTTGCAGCCTTCGCAGCAGTTGCAAACAGCACAGCCTGCAAACAAGTACCATTTCAATTCTTTCTGCAGTGGCAAACCCATCAAGACATAAAATTGTCCTTAGGACTAGGTGAAGGTGTTTGTTTTCGGAAGTTAACCCAGCTGAACTACAGCTGCCAAAATGCCTGACTTCCCTGCTTACTTTTGGCTCTGAATACTTAAATTTAGCTGAGAAAAGAGAGTATTTGTAGTCTGCAGTGGGTATGAGCATCCAGTGCCAAATGATGAATGGGAAATCAATATTGCTCTCTTCACTTGACAGGTTGGTTACAGAAGGTGCAATGATAGAACCCAAGTTCACAATAAAATATAAATGTATAAGACTTATTATACAAACTTTCTGCTTTTAAAGTTTCGCCATAGTGACATTAAAATATACAGTATCCCTCAAGAACAAAGCAATCAGTTGGTGTTGCAGAACAGTTTCTTTATGGCTACAGCTGCAAAAGAACATAGTTCCCATTCTGCTAGATTAAGGACATGGGCTGCCATCCTACTCTTGATTTATCCATGTCAGTGGAAGACATTAAGTCAGGACTAGTGGGAGACAGGCCCTTCATCTTAACAATGCTCGCCTAAGTTCCCAGCTGACGACCTCCTTCCTGCCGCGGTGGTGAGCGCTCGCGGCTGCTGCCCTTTGAGGGACACGGCCTCTTGGCAGAGAGATGGTAACTATCAGCAGAGGGGCTGAGCAGTACCTTGGCTCAGGCTGGCTTAGCCTCGTGAGCTGTATCAGTTCCTCAGGAGAAGGTAAAGGAGCTACAAAGGCACCATCTTTTTAAGGTCACACTTTAATCGTGACAAATTTGAGGCTTTACATTGCTTGTCCAAGGAGCTGCAGACGCCCAACAGGGTGCCTCAGCCTGGTCTATTCCAGGCCACGAAGAGAGGGAAGAACTCAGCTGAAGGGTAACGTGAGCTGATGGTTCTGCTTTTCCTTCAGTATTTCACACTTCCAGCCAAGTTTTCCAGTCGATGCTATGCCACAAACGCAATACATCAACACTCTTGTCTTCCTTCCCCTTTTCCCTAACACTGCTGCCATTTTTGGACAACATCTGCTCTTCATTCCCAGCCCAATAGTAATAAAGCAATAAGCAAAACGGGATGCGCATTAAGAGGCTAATGGGCTTTAGGTCCTTCAGGAGCATAAGCATTGGGAAGCATAAAGCAAAAGGGCATGTAACTTTGCTCCTCGGGGTCCCTCACCAAGCTAGAGTCCTAATGAAGTCCCGAGGGCAGCTGACTGCTGGAAGAGAGCAGCTCATTGTTTTTATTTGGGATGTCGCAGAGAGAACTTATAACGGCAGATCCTAAACTAAACAGCTCATTTAGTACCAGAAATGAGCTTAACCACGCTCAGATATTGGTCAGATAAATCCACCTCAATGTTTGTCAGTCTCCAGAGAAGAGCTAGCTACAGTTTCATGAATGAAATAAAGAAACCATGAATGCCAGGGACGTGCAAAGCAGTAGGAGAAAGGAAGGAAAGAGAAGGATAGTCACAGAAATAATGATTAAACTTCGAGGCGACAGCTATCAGCACTAAAACTGCATGTCAGAGAAGGAAGGGCTACCTCTTCTCACTGAGGTCGTTCTTCTACATTGTGGTCTGCCCTGTGCCATGCCCTCCCACCCAGGGGGCAGCCCCACGATCTGCAGCGGGGCCGGCGCGGTGGGAGCGGTGGGTTCAGCTGGCTGGCCAGTGATCGTCGGGCACGGAGAGGTGGTGAGGTGGGCTCCCACCAGTGGGAGGGCCCAGTCAGAAGCAGCAGGTGGTAGGGCTACCTGCAAAGGGGCGTGCAGAGAAGGCTCTGGCGTGCCTTGCCCGTATCGCAGGGCTGAATCTGGCAACATGCCTATAAAGTTGGCCTCCCCTTTGAGTGCTTAGTAGCAGGATAAAGCCCATGACACCCAGATCAGTCATAGTGATGGCTCTGTAGGTCTTACCAGTTTATTTTGGAAGATGCCAATTCTCAAGAGGTAAATTCTAGTAAATCTACTTGAGATAATTTTAACAGTTGTGTTCAAAATTAGAGTTTCCTTCTCAAGCAAGACCCCAATGTTTAAGTGTGTTTGTCTGAAAAAGTTAGTCGAGCATC